GAAATTGTTCAACCTATATAGAGGAAAATAATTTTATGATGTCGGTAGGCTAAAGGAATTGACCACCAATTTACGCAAACGGTAGGCTACAGGCTACCGACCGTCTGCCGCATCGCAGTTGATTCGCATCCCTCGATAACGGGGTTGCATGCATGCCACCATAAAATGTGATCAAACAACTTATAGATAATATCACAATAATCGCATTCAGTGTTAAAACGAGAACCCCGTTGGGCCATGTCTTTACGCATCGGATATGGTCAGCCACACCATCCATAGTGCAAAAAAAAAAAACATTCAGCTCATTATAGTTATAGTGAACGTCGTTATAGTTGTGGTCACGACCTATTTCAAAACATTGATATTTTCTTCAAGCAGCCTATATGGTATTACCGAATATACTTTTCAACATTAGCTGTCCGGTGTCGCATGACCATCATTGTCGGCGGGTCATGAGTTAGTCAAATCTGCGCGTGGTCAACATTTTTTTTCAAATTAAATGTTTAAGATTGGCAAGCTGGGCTACAGCATACTTTTCAGTAGGTGAATTTTTTTCTGACTGCATGTTTATTAAGCAGGTTAGTGTTTTTTTCGTCAGGAATCTTGTTATGGAGGCAGCTCCGCAGAGCGGTCACTAGCTGGCACGGCCAGCTAACCCCTAACCTTAACCACACTGCTAACCCAAATAACGGTTCATGTGTATCCTAAACTAAGGCAGACCTCCCTGGCCAATAGCATTTAGGTTAAATTACACAGAGACTGGCAGGCAGCGTGTACCCTTTCAACTTCGGGGGCATTATCCCCTTTCCATTTAGCATTGCCAGTAGGTCCATTATTTGATATAGGACTGATTAGTGCTCTTGACGAACACAGATGCTGTACAGTAAACACAGTACCCCATACGCTCCATGCTCGAAAACGACATGCAATAGGCTATAAGGGAAACTGAGGCACATATCCATGCTCAACGTTCCCGGTGCTTAATTTTATTGAGGGGATTCACTGGTTAACAGATCCGTCAGTCTCCATCTCTCCATATAAAGCCCCTAAAACAGCAGGCGATGAAATACTGTTATTGGAGCTTAGGTCGATTTGATTATCAAACTAACCATAGGCCTGTACCTTATATGAGAAAATGGAAGCTATTCATATTTTATTGACGCATGTTATCCAGATTGATTGGTTAATGATTTCCTGACTTAAATGACATGTCTGAATTTACCCTTAGAAAGATGTCTTGAGTCTTCTAAGCTTTTCTGATAATTGATATGGATTGCAGTGTAGGCTAACAGAGATCGTTAATGCTTTAGTGCTTAGATCTAAACTCAGTGTAACCTGGAGTGTTCATAATACTTCTACAAGCTTAGTTTTACATATATTCAAATGTAGGCCTACACCATTGCTTAGTTGTCCTTAGTTGTGCTAATTAACCATTGTTTAGTTGTCCTTAGTTGCGCTAATTAATGCTAAGTTGAATGATAAACGATTCTTCAAATGGTAATTAAGCATGACACCTGAGTGTTTCATTTGGATGTTGTCTGTGACTGGTGTTGCCTCTTACAAGTCCACGAATTGATAAGCAGCTGGTTTTATATTGCTTTATGGTTTTATAGCTGGTGAAGCTATAGCAACAGTGTCCAAAACCATGATACTTCAGTTGCATGCTTCAAAATGTAGTTGTGAATTGTTCTCCTCTTTCCCCTTATCATAAATATGATATTATTATTATTATTATTATTATTATTATTATTATTATTATTATTATTATTAATATTATTATGTTTATGATTATTTATCCTGCTACCAGTCACTTTCTCCTAATACCCTCCTATATCTATGTACCTGAAATACTCCAGTATCCCTGCACATTTGGTATTGGCACTGACCCTGTATATAGCTTTCTATCTTATTCACTATTTATTGTGTTTTTTTAAATTATATATATATATATATATAATTTATTTTGTATTTATTGTTATTTATTAGTTATACTATTTTGATGTTGATTACTGCACTGTTGGTTAGAGCATGCAAGTTAAGCATTTCACTGTGCTTGTGTATGTTACAATAAAACTTTTAACTGTCGTTGTATTTGAATTTAAATCACATACACATCAATCACATCTATATTTCTTCAGTAGCCTGACTTCCACAATGATTTAGAACGATAAACATATAATTTGCGCCTGCATAATGTCTGTATCTTAGGGCATGGCCACCATCAAACACATTAACAAACATGGTATCAATTGTGTGTATTTTATTGTGAACAGTATAGTATTCATCGACTATTTGGCTAACACAACAAACATGTCTTATTGAATCCTGCTGCACTAAACTACTTTTTTCCAAGTGTATAGATATTTTTTTTTTAAATGGTTACCAAACCAATGGTTTCTCGAAAATGCTTACTATGACCTTTCCTAGAAAACTGACAATAATACACTGAACTAATACTATTCACTACTCTTGATAGCTACCAAGGGTTATTTGAATATCCAATCAAAAGTTTGAATAAAGCAAATGTTAGCAAAATATTCATTATTTTTACTATTTTTCGGTAGCATTAGAGGTTCTAGAGATAGTGATCTTTATATTGGCGTCGGTAGTATTCCATGTGTAGTTAACATATCATGTCCCTTTACTGCCCTCTAGAGTGACTCACAGTAATATCAGATTAACTGACGCGATACGAAGTGAAGGATTTTCATGCCATTCTATGTGGCATGCCAATCTAAGTTATCCCCTCTGTGTTGGTGATTCTGTATCTATGGAAAACATTTACATTTCAGTCATTTAGCAGACACACTTATCCAGAGCAACTTACAGTTAGTGAATACATATTTTTTTATACTGGCCCCCCTGTGGGAATCGAACCCACAACCCTGGCGTTGCAAACACCACGCTCTATCAACTGAGCTACATCCCTGCTGGCCATTCCCTCCCCTACCTTGGACAATTGTGCACCGCCCATGAGTCTCCCGGTTGCGGCCGGCTGCAACAGAGCCTGGATTCGAACCAGGATCTAGTGGCACAGTTAGCACTGCGATGCAGTGCCTTAGACGACTGCGCCACTCAGGAGTACAATATCTTGAAATATTTTTTCTCAGATTAAACAGAAATTATTTAGATTATTATCTCATTGTGTTGACATTTCTATCGAGAAAATAATGCAATTGCACAAAAGAAAAAATTGAAATGTTTGATTTATTTTCCCTTGGGATTGATATAAGATTGAAGCATTTACTGTACATTGGGACTAAATTAGATTTTTCCCAAATTTGACTGAAGAATTAGGACAAGGTATTTGTCTTATCTGAACTCAAATACCGAAGTGTATATACGATTTAGCTATTTTACAATGGTTCATTCTTATCAGCAGGACCCCTTTGGCATGGTATTTCTTCGGCCCCAGCTCTGAAGACCAAAGTCATTACTCAGTCAAGAGAAATCTACCATTATTCCTCTTGTGACAACTAGATAAGGAAACTTCTAGGTTGTAGATCTTTTAAAGGGAGACTGAATAGATCTTGACAATAAACCGGTCTGTCTGCCAGTCTGTCGGAGATCCATGGAACCAAGAGAGATAGAGACTGGCGTTACCAAGCAAGGCTTTAAGAAATAACTCTTCATGTACTGTATATCCATGGACACCCAAATCATAGTTTTGGGGATAGAGAAGTTTGTTGCTGCTACTCCATTTCTGGAGTCACTTCATCAAACTTCCGTTTAAGATGCCAGATCAATAGGTTATTTGGGGAGGTGAAGGTGTTTCCCCCTCTCTCCTCTTCCACAGCTCAGTCTGAAAATACTCCCCTACCCGACGGGCCTGTCCATCATATTGTCATGTAAAGTGATCCAGGATCTGTCTGCTACTAGCTTCGCCCTGCTCGGCTCTATCTCCAGAGAGAGAAGAGAAGCAGAGTTGTCTGCTGGATTAAACCTCTTGTCTACGGCTCAAAATAGCTCTTTCTGGAATCGAGTGAAATGTTTGCATGGAAAGATGTTCTGCTTGATTGACATTTAAACTTCAAAAAAAATTCTCTACATTACTTTCCCTATTCTTTGTTGCCAAACTGTACATGTTTTGCAATTGTACAAGTTGACGGTGTAGGCCGTCATTGTAAATAAGAATTTGTTCTTAACTGACTTGGGTAGTTAAATAAAGGTAAAATAAAATAAATTGCTCAATCCCATTAGATCCAATGTATAGTTTTGATGAGTGTTATCTTGAGAAAGATCTGAGCATAGCATGACTAAACATAACGTTTTTTATGAGGAATCTAACCTAAATATGGTGAAGAGCCCCCCATGGAATGTTTAATCCCCTGACCACTGCCTCCAACATCCCTGACACTGCTACTTCTTCACACATCTCTCTTTGATTACTTGAACCATCTGAATGAATTGAATGAAATTAATAAATATTTTAATTGTTTCGCTTGATATATAAAACACCAAGTACACTTGTCAGGCAGGCTACACATTGTGATATGATGTTGTAGAAGATAAAACAGTCACAACAATGATGTTGTAGAAGATAAAACAGTCACAACAATGATGTTGTAGAAGATAAAACAGTCACAACAATGATGTTGTAGAATATAAAACAGTCACAACAATGATGTTGTAGAAGTTAAAACAGTCGCAACAATGATGTTGTAGAAGATAAAACAGTCACAACAATGATGTTGTAGAAGATAAAACAGTCACAACAATGATGTTGTAGAATATAAAACAGTCACAACAATGATGTTGTAGAAGTTAAAACAGTCGCAACAATGATGTTGTAGAAGTTAAAACAGTCGCAACAATGATGTTGTAGAAGATAAAACAGTCGCAACAATGATGTTGTAGAAGTTAAAACAGTCGCAACAATGATGTTGTAGAAGATAAAACAGTCACAAGTAAGCTAAGTAACCCTGCAAGTTCACAATTGCATGATGCTATGTTCTGAAAGATATTGTCACATGTAGAAAAACCGAGATAATCTTTAATTCATGACACTGGATTACACTTCTCTTCAGTACGTTCTCTTCATTATCCGTGGCTGGGTTCAGCCTTGGACCTCCGGTCTCTTCATTATCCGTGGCTGGGTTCAGCCTTGGACCTCCGGTCTCTTCATTATCCGTGGCTGGGTTCAGCCTTGGACCTCCGGTCTCTTCATTATCCGTGGCTGGGTTCAGCCTTGGACCTCCGGTCTCTTCATTATCTGTGGCTAGGTTCAGCCTTGGACTCCTCTTCACACGTGGCATAGTGAATAGTAATGATCCCGTCTTTCCCTCTAGGAAAGGTGCTAACTTCAAAGTCAAGTAAATCACAACCCCATGCAGTGTTACATTCACATGACAACACAACACTGTTTTATTGGTATCCATGCTGCTGAGAGTAGCCTTAATATAGATGGCTGTCATGTGGATACCGTCAGCAATGTTTTTCTAACTCAACAGGCTTATAATGAGTCTAACCCTAACCCTATAATGAGTCTCACCTGAGTTCTTCATCATGAAGATTTACATTTGACATTTTAGTCATTTAGCAGATGCTCTTCTCCAGAGCAATTTACAGGAGCAATTAGGGCACATTGACAGATTCTTTCAACTTGTTGGCTCTAACCACTACGCTAGATGACATAAAGATAGTCAGATAAGATCACAGGATACAACAATTGAACATCTTGCCATTCTGGCTGATTCCAAACAAGTTAAATTAAATCCTTCAAATATGTATTGCTACTTTAGGGATGCTTTTATATATATATATATATATATATATATATATTTTGTCATTTAGCAGACGCTCTTATCCAGAGCAATTAGGGTTAAGTGCCTTGCTCAAGGGCACATTGACAGCTTTTCACATAGTCGGCTCAGGGATTAGAACCAGCGACCTTTGGGCTACTGGCACAACGCTCTTAACCAGTAAGCTACCTGGCAGTTAGACGTCACCACCATCTCAATGCAAAATGTCCCTATTGCAAAGTTTTCATAGGGTAGTCATAGATGTATTCTCAAGACAGTGTACTAGCTCTGTCCCTGTGTAGATAGACTTTTCATGAGACATAAAAGATGCAGAGTTCACTGAACGCTTCTCAACACAGGCTGTGCATAATCTCTGAGATGGATATTAAATAACGGCGCTGGGAGAGAAATGAAAGGTAGATTGATACTCTCTTTATTACCTCCTAACCAATGGGGTGTGGGTGACTACAGCCCCTATAAGGCTTATTGTAAATGCTCAGAGATCGGATGGATAGGCCTGGAATGCAGCGGGACGGGAATAACAAATTCATGTGTTAGTGATTGGATGTAAGTTGTTGGAATTAATTCAAAAATAACTTTGAAAAGCTAAGCGTTATTGAAGACAGTTCCTCAGACATCCACGTTTAACCCCAATGTAGTACAGCTGTGTGTTGAGTGGCCCAGTGGTCTAAGGCACTGCATCGCAGTAGCTAGCTGTGCCACTAGAGATCCTGGTTCGAATCCAGGCTCTGTCGCAAGCAGACCGGGAGACCCATGGGTGGCGCACAAGTTGTCCAAGGTATGGGAGGGTTTGGCCGGCAGGGATGTGGGTTGCTAACTGTAAGTTGCTCTGGATAACAGCATCTACTAAAATGTATAAAGGATGTTATGTATTATTTATTTAAGATGTCTTCCAAGGTTTGACATTAAAAGGGCATCGTGAATAATAAGGAAGTCATATTGAGACTACAGTCTCCTTTACAGATGAGTCCTGCATAAATACATCAAACACATACAGTATGCAATATACACAAATTACAAAACAGATTAAGAAAAAACAGACACATTTATCAACATAGAGTTCTCTGATCATTACTCTGAACTGACCCAGTGGGACCAGAACATCTCATTTCAGAGAGCTCTGTAAGTTGTTCTACATGAAGCGGGCAAAAAACTATAAGCAGCTTTAGCCAACTCTGTGGAGACCGAAGGGGCCTCCAGTGTTATCCAAACCAGTGACTGGGTTTGGTCATTTGTAAGTCTAAATTGAATTAATGATGATAGATACATAGGAAGTTTCTGCGTGAGTGCTTTGTAGATAAACACAATAAAATACTGCTCTTTCCTTACATACAAAAGGTCTAACAAACCTGTTGATATAAAACACAATGGTGAGTTCTAGAACCATCACCAGTAATAAACTTAAGGGCCCGATGGTGAGTTCTAGAACTATCACCAGTAATAAACCTAAGGGCACAATGGTGAGTTCTAGAACCATCACCAGTAATAAACCTAAGGGCCCAATGGTGAGTTCTAGAACCATCACCAGTAATAAACCTAAGGGCCCAATGGTGAGTTCTAGAACCATCACCAGTAATAAACCTAAGGGCCCAATGGTGAGTTCTAGAAACATCACCAGTAATAAACCTAAGGGCACAATGGTTAGTTCTAGAACCATCACCAGTAATAAACCTAAGGGCACAATGGTTAGTTATAGAACCATCACCAGTAATAAACCTAAGGGCACAATGGTGAGTTCTAGAACCATCACCAGTAATAAACCTAAGGGCACAATGGTTAGTTCTAGAACCATCACCAGTAATAAACCTAAGGGCACAATGGTGAGTTCTAGAACCATCACCAGTAATAAACCTAAGGGCCCAATGGTGAGTTCTAGAACCATCACCAGTAATAAACCTAACGGCACAATGGATAGTTCTAGAACCATCACCAGTAATAAACCTAAGGGCAATATGGTGAGTTCTAGAACCATCACCAGTAATAAACCTAAGGGCACAATGGTGAGTTCTAGAACCATCACCAGTAATAAACCTAAGGGCACAATGGTGAGTTCTAGAACCATCACCAGTAATATACCTATGGGCCCAATGGTGAGTTCTAGAACCATCACCAGTAATAAACCTAAGGACCCAATGGTGAGTTCTAGAACCATCACCAGTAATAAACCTAAGGGCCCAATGGTGAGTTCTAGAACCATCACCAGTAATAAACCTAAGGGCCCAATGGTGAGTTCTAGAACCATCACCAGTAATAAACCTAAGGGCCCAATGGTTAGTTCTAGAACCATCACCAGTAATAAACCTAAGGGCCCAATGGTTAGTTCTAGAACCATCACCAGTAATAAACCTAAGGGCCCAATGGTGAGTTCTAGAACCATCACCAGTAATAAACCTAAGGGCCCAATGGTTAGTTCTAGAACCATCACCAGTAATAAACCTAAGGGCACAATGGTGAGTTCTAGAACCATCACCAGTAATAAACCTAAGGGCACAATGGTGAGTTCTAGAATCATCACCAGTAATAAACCTAAGGGCCCAATGGTGAGTTCTAGAATCATCACCAGTAATAAACCTAAGGGCCCAATGGTGAGTTCTAGAACCATCACCAGTAATAAACCAGTAATAAAAAAAGGGCACAATGGAAAACAGCATCTAGTGGTTTAAGTGTAGATGCTGTTGCATGCATATAGATCATATCCCCAGAATCTAAAATAGACATAACAGTGTCCTGGACAATTTCCTTCCTATTAACAAAAGTCAGACAAATGTTGTTTCTGTAAAATAAACCCAACCTTGAAATTCAACTTCTTCACCAGCTCAATGGCATGTTTTTTTTTTTTATGACAGTTTGTCATCAAGATATTTGTAAGAAGGAACTCTCTCAATGTGTGTACCGTTCAAACTAGTCATTCCAAATTCATTTCAATATGGGTTATGGGACCTAGAAAAAAGCATGCATTTTAGTTTGTTTGCATGTAGCACTAACTTTAAATCCAATAGTGACCTCTGCAGTTTTTGAAAATCAGATTTCAAATGTGAAAAGGCTTTGGCCAACCAATGGAGCAATGGAATACAACACTGTATCATCTGCATACATTTTTATTTTGACAGCATTACCAATGTTCTTTATATAAATTGTAAACAGTAGTGGGCAGAATATTGAACCTTGGGGCACCCCTTTATGTAACTCAAGGAACTCAGATTTGACCCCATCTACCTTGATGGCCTGAGTTTTGTCATTGAGATAATTATGAAACCATCGGCAAGCATCAGTAGCCAACCCTATCGAGGACAGTTTATTCAACAGAGTAACATGGTCTACAGTATCAAAAGCTTTTGACAAGTCTACAAACATGGCAGCACAATTCTTTCTAAGGCATTTGCAATATTATTTACAACAACCATGGTAGCCGTAGTGGTGCTATGTTTAGATCTGAATCTGGATTTATTAACATTAAGGATACCTTTTACAGATAGAAAATAGCACAGCTGTTTGTTGACCAATGATTCTAGTATTTTCGTAAGACAAGGGAGCCTGGAAATGGGTTGATAATGATCTGCGGTCCTCTGTAGCTCAGCTGGTAGAGCATGGCCCTTGTAACGCCAGGGTAGTGGGTTCGATCCCCGCGACCACCCATATGTATGCAAACATGACTGCAAGTTGCTTTGGATAAAAACGTCTGCAAAATGGCATACTATTATATCCCTGCCCTTATGGAGTGGGAGAGAAGACGTTCCACACTTTTGGAATATTTCTTGATACTAAAGTTAAATAAAAAAAATGTGTGTTACTGAGCCAGCAATGAGGGGCACTGCATACTTAAGCAAAGACGGGTCCTCATGACAAGTCTTATAATTTAACCTGGCTTACCTGGTTAAATAAAGGTGAAATTAAAAAAAAAAAAAAAAAAAAAAAAATGCATCACAACGGCATCATAAAGCATTATACCTGCAGCCTTTAAGTCTCCCTTGGTCCAGGTCTCCCTTGTAAAAGAGACCTCAATGGGACTTCCTGGATAAATACAAGTTAAATAAATGAAATAAAAAGTATAGTGTTACCATAAATTCTAATCCCAATAACCTGAAAGTTGTTCTTGCTATAAGAAGCAGAGCAACTGCCATCGTATCTCCATGCTCCATCTTTGGATGGCCTAGTTTTGGTGTTGGCAATGACCTTTGCCCTCCAGCCAGGTTTTAGCACACAAAGCGTTGATATAATTGGTGGAACTATCTATCAAGCAAACTGGCATCAAATAGGAAAACACTGATATATGAATACTGTCAGATGGCGCTGAAAACCATAGGCTGTTGATTTACTGTTGACTATTGACTCATTTACCTTTGGCTTCGTCATAGAGAGAGATCAGACAGAGGCCATATTTTCTATCTAATAACAATACATGGAGCATGTTATAGAAAACTGTATTAACTACAGTGGCTTGCGAAAGTATTCACCCCCCTTGGCATTTTTCCTATTTTGTTGCCTTACAACCTGGAATTAAAATTGATTTTTTGGGGAGTTTGTATCATTTGATTTACACAACATGCCTACCACTTTGAAGATGCAAAATATTTTTTATTGTGAAACAAACAAGAAATAAGACAAAAAAAACAGAAAACTTGAGCGTGCATAACTATTCACCCCCCCCTCAAAGTCAATACTTTGTAGAGCCACCTTTTGCAGCAATTACAGCTGCAAGTCTCTTGGGGTATGTCTCTATAAGCTTGGCACATCTAGCCACTGGGATTTTTGCCCATTCTTCAAGGCAGAACTGCTCCAGCTCCTTCAAGTTGGATGGGTTCCGCTGGTGTACAGCAATTTTTAAGTCATACCACAGATTCTCAATTGGATTGAGGTCTGGGCTTTGACTAGGCCATTCCAAGACATTAAACCACTTGAGTGTTGCTTTAGCAGTATGCTTAGGGTCATTGTCCTGCTGGAACGTGAACCTCCATCCCAGTCTCAAATCTCTGGAAGATTGAAACAGGTTTCCCTCAAGTATTTCCCTGTATTTAGCGGCATCCATTATTCCTTCAATTCTGACCAGTTTCCCAGTCCCTGCCGGATGGTGTTCTCGGGGTGATGAGAAGTGTTGGGTTTGCGCCAGACATAGCGTTTTCCTTGATGGCCAAAAAGCTCAATTTTAGTCTCATCTGACCAGAGTAACTTCTTCCATATGTTTGGGGAGTCTCCCACATGGCTTTTGGCAAACACCAAACGTGTTTTCTTATTGTTTTCTTTAAGCAATGGCTTTTTTCTGGCCACTCTTCTGTAAAGCCCAGCTCTGTGGAGTGTACGGCTTAAAGTGGTCCTATGGACAGATACTCCAATCTCCGCTGTGGAGCTTTGCAGCTCCTTTAGGGTTATCTTTGGTCTCTTTGTTGCCTCTCTGATTATTGCCCTTCTTGCCTGGTCCGTGAGTTTTTGTGGGCGGTCCTCTCTTGGCAGGTTTGTTGTGGTGCCATATTCTTTCATTTTTTAAATAATGGATTTAATGGTGCTCCATGGGATGCTCAAAGTATTGAATATTTTTTTATAACCCAACCCTGATCTGTACTTCTACGCAACTTTGTCCCTGACCTGTTTGGAGAGCTCCTTGGTCTTCATGGTGCCGCTTGCTTGGTGGTGCCCCTTGCTTAGTGGTGTTGCAGACTCTGGGGCCTTTCAGAACAGGTGTATATATACTGAGATCATGTGCCAGATCATGTGACACTTAGATTGCACACAGGTGGACATTATTTAACAAATTATGTGACTTCTGAAGGTAATTGGTTGCACCAGATCTTATTTAGGGGCTTCATAACAAAGGGGGTGAATACATTCCCACTTAAAAAGATGAGAGAGGCCTGTAATTTTCATCATAGGTACACGTCAACTATGACAGACAAAATGAGAAAAAAAATTCCAGAAAATCACATTGTAGGATTTTTCATGAATTTATTTGCAAATTATGGTGGAAAATAAGTATTTGGTCAATAACAAAAGTTTCTCAATACTTTGTTATATACCATTTGTTGGCAATGACACAGGTCAAACGTTTTCTGTAAGTCTTCACAAGGTTTTCACACACTGTTGCTGGTATTTTGGCCCATTCCTCCATGCAGATCTCCTCTAGAGCAGTGATGTTTTGGGGCTGTCACTGGGCAACACGGACTTTCAACTCCCTCCAAAGATTTTCTATGGGGTTGAGATCTGGAGACTGGCTAGGCCACTCCAGGACCTTGAAATGCTTCTTACGAAGCCACTCCTTCGTTGCCCGGGCGGTGTGTTTGGGATCATTGTCATGCTGAAAGACCCAGCCACGTTTCATCTTCAATGCCCTTGCTGATGGAAGGAGGTTTTCAATCAAAATCTCACGATACATGGCCCCATTCATTCTTTCCTTTACACGGATCAGTCGTCCTGGTCCCTTTGCAGAAACACAGCCCCAAAGCATGATGTTTCCACCCCCATGCTTCACAGTAGGTATGGTGTTCTTTGGATGCAACTCAGCATTCTTTGTCCTCCAAACACGACGAGTTGAGTTTTTACCAAACAGTTATATTTTGGTTTCATCTGACCATATGACATTCTCCCAATCCTCTTCTGAATCACCAAAATGCACTCTAGCAAACTTCAGACGGGCCTGGACGTACTGGCTTAAGCAGGGGGACACGTCTTGCACTGCAGGATTTGAGTCCCTGGCGGCGTAGTGTGTTACTGATGGTAGGCTTTGTTACTTTGGTCCCAGCTCTCTGCAGGTCATTCACTAGGTCCCCCCGTGTGGTTCTGGGATTTTTGCTCACCGTTCTTGTGATCATTTTGACCCCACGGGGTGAGATCTTGCGTGGAGCCCCAGATCGAGGGAGATTATCAGTGGTCTTGTATGTCTTCCATTTCCTAATAATTGCTCCCACAGTTGATTTCTTCAAACCAAGCTGCTTACGTATTGCTGATTCAGTCTTCCCAGCCTGGTGCAGGTCTACAATTTTGTTTCTGGTGTCCTTTGACAGCTCTTTGGTCTTGGCAATAGTGGAGTTTGGAGTGTGACTGTTTGAGGTTGTGGACAGGTGTCTTTTATACTGATAACAAGTTCAAACAGGTGCCAATAATACAGGTAACGAGTGGAGGACAGAGGAGCCTCTTAAAGAAGAAGTTACAGGTCTGTGAGAGCCAGAAATCTTGCTTGTTTGTAGGTGACCAAATACTTATTTTCCACCATCATTTGCAAATAAATTCATAAAAAATCCTACAATGTGATTTTCTGGAAAAATAATTCTCAATTTGTCTGTCATAGTTGACGGGTACATATGATGGAAATTACAGGCCTCTCTCATCTTTTTAAGGGAACCATAACAAGGGGTGAAAATACATATGTACGCACCACTTTTCTGTTATATATTTTTTTCATTTCACTTTACCAATTTGGACTATTTTGTGTATGTCCATTACATGAAATCCAAATAAAAATCCATTTAAATTACAGGTTGTAATGCAACAAAATAGGAAAAAACGCCAAGGGCAATGAATACATTTGCAAGGCACTGTAATGTTAATGATTACATTGTATGATTATATTCTATGATAATATGATTCTAATGTGAGACATGGTGGGTTGTCGAAATATGTCCATTCATTATAATGAAGAATGTAGTGTTTTCATATGGCAGGGCATTCATGGAATCTTTCACATTCCAGTTCTTCTCAGATACTCCGTAAATGAGGCTCTGAGTTAATTTGCTGTTAACATGAGCAATGTATCTCTAATCTATGACTCAGCATTCAAATGAAGGTTATTGCATACAGTAACACCTATCCACCACACTGGAAGATGTAGGCCGCATCCCAAAATGGCACCCTATTCCCTATATACTCCAGTGCACATATATTCTACTTTTGACCGGGGCCAAATCTTAGTGTTTTCCCATGTTTCCTGCCCGTGACGATCTGACTGAAATCCCAAGCTACTTATCTTTAAAACCCTGACGACACCTCAAGGTCAACTCATGTACCAAACGTACTGCCTCACGCTAGCTGAACTCATCAAACATTAATACAAGATTGTCTATTGCCTCGCACCCACCCTCCCTGCAAGGAAATTATTAATTGGTTGATTACCGCAATGTAACGGATTGATGGAATATGTGAACTAATAACCTTTTCATGTCTTTTGTGTTCAACGGGGTGTCATCAAAGGTTCATTGTGTAAAACTGCTGTTAATTTGCTCTCATAGACATTGGAGAGATGCAGGCTCAGAGCTAGTTAGGTTGATAGGTCAAGTTCAACCCTCTCCATTAGAGAGAATCATACTAATTACAGTCAGAATATATGGGTCTGGAATGCAACCCTATTTCCTATATAGTGCACTATTTTTGATCATAGAGCTCTGGTCAAAAGTAGTGCACTATACAGGGAATATGGTGCCATTTTCAGACGTAACCTGGGTGTCATGTAACTTTTGCAGTGACAAGATTCTTTCTCTTCCCCTCTCTCTCTCTCTCTCTCTCTCTCTCTCTCTCTCTCTCTCTCTCTCTCTCTCTCTCTCTCTCTCTCTCTCTCTCTCTCTCTCTCTCTCTCTCTCTCTCTCTCTCTCTCTATGCCAGTGACAGAGTTGCAGCCTTACAAGAAAAGCTCCCATCCTCTCTGATTATGGACTTAGCAGGTCAGGCTAATGTGCTGGTGGTGTTGCTCACCTGCCTGGTCCTGCTGTCCTGGGCCCAAGAGAAAGACTACACGGTGAGGGAGGAGCAGCCCGAGAATGTCCGCATCGGGAATCTGCGGAAGGACTTGGACCTTAACCTTGACCCTGACTTAAAGCTGTCCTCGCCACTGCAGTTCAAGCCCGTCTACAAAACGGGCGATGTGCCTTTGGTGAGGGTGGAGGCCAACACTGGGGAGATCTTCACCACGGCTCACCGCATCGACCGCGAGAAGCTCTGCTCGGGAGTATTCAACGAGAAGCGCTGCTTCTACGAGATCGAGGTAGCCGTTCTGCCTGACGAGATCTTCCGTCTGGTCAAGATCCGGTTCCTGATTGAGGACGTCAATGACAACGCTCCACTCTTCCAGTCCACCGTTATAAACATCTCCATCCCAGAGAACACAGCCATCAACACCCGGTACCCCGTGCCCTCTGCGTTTGACCCAGATGTGGGGATCAATGGGATTCAACACTATGAACTTGTCAAGGTGAGCTCGCACACTTCTCTCTGTCAGGATCGAGTGACTGACATTAAGATCAATAGATTGTATGCTTTAGGAATTGTTTGTTTTCTTCCTTATTTGTGGGGAAAACAGTTACACAAATTATATAAAATGTGGCATTTACCGCTAGCATAAATCATTTTAACATTCCATCAAAGACAGAGCAGTTCTATAAGTTTTAGCAACCCCTCCCCAGTCTCACCGCTGTTTACCTGCATTAGGTTGAACATATAAGGCAATGTGTTAGTAGAGCTGTTGTTTGTAGTTAGACTTTCTGGGCCACGTACCACGCTTAAATCAGAACAGAGCCTTAGGCCACCGTGGAACCACCATGCTTTCTTTGAAAAGGCTTTATGTCATTATGTGTAGCAAGTGATAAGCAAAGGTGTAGTTTCGCTGTAAACCCATAACACGGAAAATTGCAGACACAGCGTAATCCTCCAATTTTCCGGAGAAAAAGGTTAAATGTCGGGAGTATTGTAGATTATTGCCTAGAAAAGGAACGTACTATATTGTGTTAATAGGTGTCTCATGCCGAACCCCAACGTTATTTTTATAACCTAATTGATGTTCTATTAAATCGCAGCGCAATATTCTCAGTTGCCTTAATGAAGTCGGCCTGAAAAAAAAATAGTAGGATAATGTCATGCATTCTCCATTTATAGTCTACACAATACTCGAGACATAGTGGAAAAAGATGAATATTGCAGATTATCTGAGGCCTGCTTGTGAATTCAAATTCAGATTTTTTTTAAAGGGAGCTAAACCACACCATTTGCTTTGCCGATGAGGCACTAAACACACATAAAGGCAGGAACATCATTATCTTCTAACATTATCTTCTATTACAAGCATCTACATGAAATGTGGCGCAGTGGTCTAAGGCACTGCATCGCAGTGCTAGCTGTGCCACTAGAGATCCTGGATCGAATCCAGGCTCTGTCGTAGCCGGCCACGACCGGGAGACCCATGGGGCGGTGCACAATTGGTCCAGGGTAGGGGAGGGAATGGCCGGCAGGGATTTAGAGCATAGCGTTTGCAACGCCAGGGTTGTGGGTTCGATTCCCACGGGGGGGCCAGTATGAAAAATAAAAAGATAATGTAAGTCGCTCTGGATAAGAGCGTCTGCTAAATGACTAAAATGTAAATGTAAAAGGTTGTTGTCTCAATCACGGTGACATGATGATGTTTTTTGGGAGTGTGAGATGATACGAGTCTATCAGGATGTCTCAGATTAAGTTTTTCTTTGTGTGAACATTAACAGTATCCTTGCTGCCCATGTCTGACTTGATTACCAATTTGCATTTTTATGAGTCATTTCTGTGCCAAGGCCTCCCCCGCTGAAAATGTCCTGAATTGTTCATGCCTGGAAAATGACCAGCCAAACGTTCTGCACATAGCAACGATGATGATCTCCAGTCATTGTCTCCTCCTCATGTATATTATAGATTTTTTACATCCTTGTTTTATTTATTCAATGTATTTATTTAGATTCATTTTATCTTTCCTATTCTTGTTTTTTTTTATATAGTTTATTTCGATTTCAGTTGCATCTCATCTTCCTTGGGGAAATATTGCTGTTTCATATATATCTATCCATCCTTTTCATTCAAAATAGGTTTTCTGAAAAGCAGTCCATAAACACAGCATAAAGGTACAGTACCCATGAGGGCATATATTCAAGTGAATTTCATAAATGCACCGTACAGTCTTTAGTTCGATGGAGGCTTGTGCAAGCATTTCCTATAATAGCTGCTGGGTCTTTAATCCACCCCTTGGACTATCTTTGTATTTGTCCTCAGAGATTTGTCTGTGGAGCTCCACACAGAATAATAGTTTACTACCACAGCGTTCCTGTTATGTCCCCTGACATGGAAGCTGAAACTGCTTCCCCCTGTGTGTCATCACAGTGTTCCTGTTATGTCCCCTGACATGGAAGCTGAAACTGCTTCCCCTGTGTGTCATCACAGTGTTCCTGTTATGTCCCTGACATGGAAGCTGAAACTGCTTCCCCTGTGTGTCATCACAGTAGGCCAGTTCTGTCCCCTCAGCTGACAGACATGTAGGCTAGCTGATATCAGAAAAGGACAGATTAGATGTGACAGCCACCTAAATTCAAAGCCAGGTTTGGTCTGTCTTTTCATATAGAGGGTTAATAAATAATGCCATTCCATATAGTCTGTTTTAAATCACACATAATGTTCATTAACACTTTACTTGAAGGGGGTATAGGCCTAAATAAGGCATTCGTAACACCTTTATGAAATCAGTCATGCCACCTTAATAATGAGCGTAGCGGTATCGTTCATAACAACCTTTTAATTATGGGATTCTAAAATGGAATGTGTACCATTAGCAGCGTCATCTTGGAATGCAGCAAAGGTGTTCTAAGAACACATCCAAGGTCAGGGGAAAGTAATACCATGCATGGTCTCTGGTCAAAACGAGGGCACTATATAGGGAATAGGGTACCATTTGAGACGTTGACCGTGTGAAGCAGGTCAGGTTCAAGGTATGGAGGTATTGACTTTTGTTGTTTCGGGTTCTACCCTCCTCCAAAACGTTATTTTTCTCCAAGCATTTAAAGAGGTTTTGCACCACACTGCAGGAAACCGAATCCTTCCTATTTTGAGTCATTTTCAGTATCTCTTATCGCTTAACAACATTTGTTGTGGGCGGGTGCTGTCGGGATCACCTTGTGTAGATCAATATCTTGCTATAGGAGAGCCAGATAAACTCGTTGTTGAGAGAAAGAGGGACTCTTTATTTCAGTGGGTGGATTTGGAGCAACAACTCTTCTTTGTTTACAAATTATGTTCTGGGGATATACATCTAACTTGTTTGCCCGGCTATTAGGAGCATATGGTAGCACAATTAGGTTCTGCCGTCATAGAAAATCAGTAAAGCCTGAATACATTTATGTGTTCATTTACAGATGCCAGTTAATGCCGTAATACTGTAATAGATACAACATGTGTTGGAGCTCAAATAACTCAAATTGGCATTTCATAATTGATTAATGTTCTTCATTGGATGATGCTTGCTGTAAACAAAGCGCTCAGCTAGCTCACTGCCTGTGTTCAGCTCACTGCCTGTGTTCAGCTCACTGCCTGTGTTCAGCTCACTGCCTGTGTTCAGTTCACTGCCTGTGTTCAGCTCACTGCCTGTGTTCAGCTCACTGCCTGTGTTCAGCTCACTGCCTGTGTTCAGCTCACTGCCTGTGTTCAGTTCACTGCCTGTGTTCAGCTCACTGCCTGTGTTCAGCTCACTGCCTGTGTTCAGCTCACTGCCTGTGTTCAGCTCACCGCCTGTCCCAGTCTCCTCTAGGTTTAATCAGGTCATCAACTTGATTCAGTCCCAGTCTCCTCTAGGTTTAATCAGGTCATCAACTTGATTCAAAGATGCATCAGATGATAATCTGAAATATTGAAAAGGTCTGCAGAGAGGGGACTTTAGTCAGCCGCACCCAGTTTCTGCTAACACCGGCTCTAAATCATTTATTGCTACTGAGATGGAACTTTGACTGTCGTGATTAGATGACTAACATCATTGGGCGACTAACATCATTGGGCGACTAACATCATTGGGCGACTAACATCATTGGGCGACTAACATCATTGGGCGACTAACATCATTGGGCGACTAACATAATTGAATTACTAACATCATTGGGCGACTAACATCATTGGGCGACTAACATCATTGGGCGACTAACATCATTGGGCGACTAACATCATTGGGCGACTAACATCATTGGGCGACTAACATCATTGGGCGACTAACATAATTGAATTACTAACATCATTGGGCGACTAACATCATTGGGCGACTAACATCATTGGGCGACTAACATCATTGAATTACTAACATCATTGGGCGACTAACATCATTGGGCGACTAACATCATTGGACTACTAACATCATTGGACTACTAACATCATTGGGCGACTAACATCATTGGGCGACTAACATCATTGGACTACTAACATCATTGGGCGACTAACATCATTGGGCGACTAACATCATTGGACTACTAACATCATTGGACTACTAACATCATTGGGCGACTAACATCATTGGGCGACTAACATCATTGGACTACTAACATCATTGGGCGACTAACATCATTGGGCGACTAACATCATTGGAATATTTGTATTTGTATTTGTATTTATTATGGATCCCCATTAGTTCCTGCCAAGGCAGCAGCTACTCTTCCTGGGGTCCAGCAAAATGAAGTCAGTTCATACAATTTTAAAAACATTACAATACTTTCACAGATTTCACAACACACTGTGTGCCCTCAGGCCCCTACTCCATCACCACATATCTACAGTACAAAAATCCATGTGTACGTGTGTGTATAGTGCGTATGTTATCGTGTGTGTGTATGCTTCACAGTCCCCGCTGTTCCATAAGGTGTTTTTTAATCTGTTTTTTTTTAAATCTAATTTTACTACTTGCATCAGTTACTTGATGTGGAATAGAGTTCCATGTAGTCGTGCCGCCCATAGTCTGTTCTGGACTTGGGGGCTGTGAAGAGACCTCTGGTGGCATGTCTTGTGGGGTGTGCATGGTGACCAAGCTGCACCAGTAGTTCAAACAGACAGCTCGGTGCACCCAACATGTCAACACCTCTCATAAACACAAGTAGTGATGAAGTCAATTTCTCCTCCACTTTGAGCCAGGAGAGATCGACATGCATTAGCATTAGCTCTCTGTGTACATCCAAGGGCCAGCCGTGCTGCCCTGTTCTGAGCCAAGGCCTTTTTATGTGGCACCTGAGCACACGACTGAACAGTAGTCCAGTTGTGACAAAACTAGGGCCTGTAGGACCTGCCTTGTTGATAATGCTGTTAAGAAGGTAGAGTAGCGCTTTATTATGGACATACTTCTCCCCATTTTAGTTACTGTTGTATCAATATGTTTTGACCATAACAGTTTACAATCCAGGGTTACTCCAAGCAGTTTAGTCACCTCAACTTGCTCAATTTCCACATTATTTATTAGAAGATTTAGTTGAGGTTTAGGGTATAGTGAATGATTTGTCCCAAATACAATGATTTTAGTTTAAGAAATATTTAGGACTAACTTATTCCTTGCCATCCACTCTGAAACTAACTGCAACTCTTTGTGAAGTGTTGCAGTCATTTCAGTCGCTGTAGTAGCTAACATGTATAGTGTTGAGTCATCCGCATACATAGACACTCAGTCTTTACTCAAAGCCAGTGGCATGTCATTAGTAAATATTGAAACAAGTAATGGACCTAGACAGCTGCCCTGGGGAATTCCAGATTCTACCTGGATTATGTTGGAGAGGCTTCCATTAAAGAACACACTAAAGCCGCACTGAAGTCTAACAAAACAGCCCCCACAATATTTGTATCATCAATTTCTCTGAGCCAATCATCAGTCATTTGTGTAAGTGCTGTGTTTGTAGTCAATTTGTTTACTGTAAAATAGCATTGTATCTGGTCAAACACAATTTTGTCCAATAGTTTACTAAGGGTTGGTAACAGGCTGATTGGTCGGCTATTTGAGCCAGTAAAGGGGGCTTTACTATTCTTAGGTAGCAGAATGACTTGTGCTTCCCTCCAAGCCTGGGGGCACACACGTTCTAGTAGGCTTAAATTGAAAATATGGCAAAAGCATTGGACTACTAACATCGCTAATATATATATATATATACAGTGGGGAAAAAAAGTATTTAGTCAGCCACCAATTGTGCATGTTCTCCCACTTAAAAAGATGAGAGAGGCCTGTAATTTTCATCATAGGTACACGTCAACTATGACAGGCAAAATGAGAAAAAATAATCCAGAAAATCACATTGTAGGATTTTTAATGAATTTATTTGCAAATGATGGTGGAAAATAAGTATTTGGTCAATAACAAAAGTTTCTCAATACTTTGTTATATACCCTTTGTTGGCAATGACACAGGTCAAACGTTTTCTGTAAATCTTCACAAGGTTTTCACACACTTTTTCTGGTATTTTGGCCCATTCCTCCATGCAGATCTCCTCTAGAGCAGTGATGTTTTGAGGCTGTCGCTGGGCAACACAGACTTTCAACTCCCTCCAAAGATTTTCTATGGGGTTGAGATCTGGAGACTGGCTAGGCCACTCCAGGACCTTGAAATGCTTCTTACGAAGCCACTCCTTCGTTGCCCGGGCGGTGTGTTTGGGATCATTGTCATGCTGAAAGACATTTCATCTTCAATGCCCTTGCTGATGGAAGGAGGTTTTCACTCAAAATCTCACGATACATGGCCCCATTCATTCTTTCCTTTACACGGATCAGTCGTCCTGGTCCCTTTGCAGAAAAACAGCCCCAAAGCATGATGTTTCCACCCCCATGCTTCACAGTAGGTATGGTGTTCTTTGGATGCAACTCAGCATTCTTTGTCCTCCAAACATGACGAGTTGAGTTTTTACCAAAAAGTTATATTTTGGTTTCATCTGACCATATGACATTCTCCCAATCCTCTTCTGGATCATCCAAATGCACTTCAGACGGGCCTGGACATGTACTGGCTTAAGCAGGGGGACACGTCTTGCACTGCAGGATTTGAATCCCTGGCGGCGTAGTGTGTTACTGATGGTAGGCTTTGTTACTTTGGTCCCAGCTCTCTGCAGGTCATTCACTAGGTCCCCCCGTGTGGTTCTGGGATTTTTGCTCACCGTTCTTGTGATCATTTTGACCCCAAGGGGTGAGATCTTGCGTGGAGCCCCAGATCGAGGGAGATTATCAGTGGTCTTGTATGTCTTCCATTTCCTAATAATTGCTCCCACAGTTGATTTCTTCAAACCAAGCTGCTTACCTATTGCAGATTCAGTCTTCCCAGCCTGGTGCAGGTCTACAATTTTGTTTCTGGTGTCCTTTGACAGCTCTTTGGTCTTGGCCATAGTGGAGTTTGGAGTGTGACTGTTTGAGGTTGTGGACAGGTGTCTTTTATACTGATAACAAGTTCAAACAGGTGCCATTAATACAGGTAACGAGTGGAGGACAGAGGAGCCTCTTAAAGAAGAAGTTACAGGTCTGTGAGAGCCAGAAATCTTGCTTGTTTGTAGGTGACCAAATACTTATTTTCCACCATAATTTGCAAATAAATTCATTAAAAATCCTACGATGTGATTTTCTGGATTTTTTTCCCTCAATTTGTCTGTCATAGTTGACGTGTACCTATGCTGAAAATTACAGGCATCTCTCATCTTTTTAAGTGGGAGAATTTGCAACAATTGGTGGCTGACTAAATACTTTTTTTCCCCACTGTATATACATAGATATTTCATTTATAGATCTCTACACATACAGTATATACATATACAGTCACCTCCAAAATGATTGGCATCTTGATAAAGATGAGCAGAAAAGACTGTATAAAATCAATAATACAAAAACTGAGCTATATTTAATGCTAAAACAAAATTAGACAATGATATTATGTTATACTAATACAATTTCTCAGAGAAAGTGATTTTGTTTATTAAGCAATATATGTTTTCCTCAAAAATAAAGGTGTCAAAATTATTGGCACCCCTAAATATTCTTATAATTAAAATCAAACAAAATGGAAACTGGATTAAAATTTGACTTAAAAAAATGTATTTTAGTTTAAGAAAGTGTATTGTGGCCTTCCATGGCTTCCTGTGCCACTGGGGTATAAAACATTATGTAACATGCATGAAAATCAATTTTTCATCCATCACCATGGGTAAAGGCTACTATAAAATAAAGATAAATTATATAAAGAATTATACTAAAACGCTTTGGAGCATCTTAAATATAATTTTGGGCAAAAAGGCAAACTCAGCTCCATCATTCATTGAGTCAGATGGCTCATTCATCACAAAACCTTATATTGCCAACTACTTTAATGATTTTTTCATTGGCAAGATTAGCAAATTTAGGCATGACATGCCATCAACAAACACCGAAACATACACATCTAAGTATAACTGACCACATTTTGAAAGACAAGCATTGTAATTTTGAGTTCCGTAAAGTGAGTGTGGAAGGATTGAAAATTATTGTTGTCTGTCAACAATGAAAAGCAACCTGGGTCTGAGGATGATAGCGGATGATATTGCCACTCTACTTGCCATCTCTTTAATACAAGCTTACAAAAAAGTGTGTGCCCTCTGGACTGGAAGGAAGCAAAAGTCATTCCGCTACCCAAGAATAGTGAAGCACCCTTTAGTGGCTCAAATAGCCGACCAATCAGCCTGTTACCAACCCTTAGTAAACCTTTGGAAAAAATGTGTGTTTGACCAGATACAATGCTATTTTACAGTAAACAAATTGACAACAGACTTTCAACACGATTATAGGGAAGGGCATTCAACATGCACGGCACTTACACAAATTACTGATGATTGGCTGAGAGAAATTGATAATGCAAATATTGTGGGAGCTGTTTTGTTACATTATTGATCACAGTATGCTGCTGGAAAAATGTATATGTTATGACTTTACACCCCCTGCTATATTGTGGATTGAGAGTTCCCTGTCTAACAGAACACAGAGGGTGTTATTTAATGGAAGCCTCTCCAACATAATCCAGGTAGAATCAGGCATTCCCCAGGGCAGCTGTCTAGGCCCCTTACTTTTTTCAATTTACTAATGACATGCCACTGGCTTTGAGTAAAGCCTGTGTGTCTATGTATGCGGATGACTCAACACTATACAAGTCAGCTACTACAGCGAGTGAAATCACTGCAACACTTAATAAAGAGCTGCAGTCAGTTTCAGAATGGGTGGCGAGGAATAAGTTAGTCCTAAATATTTTAAAAACTAAACGCATTGTATGTAAAAATCATTCACTAAACTCTAAATGTCAACTAAATCTTGTAATAAATAATGTGGATATATAATGTGGAAAGTAGAAAGTTGAGGAGACTAAACTGCTTGGAGTAACCCTGGATTGTAAACTGTTACGGTCAAAACATATTGATACAACAGTAGCTAATATGAGGAGAGGTCTGTCCATAATAAAGCGCTACTCTGCCTTCTTAACAACAATATCAACATGGCAGGTCCTAGAGGCCTTAGTTTTGTCGCACCTGGACTACTGTCTAGTCGTGTCGTCAGGTGCCACAAAGAGGGACTTGGGAAAATTACTACTGAACAGGGTAACACATCTGGCCCTTGATGTACATGAAGAGCTAACATTAATAATATGCATGTCAATCTCTCATGGCTCAAAGTGGAGGAGAGATTGACTTCATCACTACTTGTATTTGTGCGAGATCTCTTCACAGTCCCTACGTCCAAAACAGACTATGGGAGGCGCACATAAACCATGACTACATGTAACTCTATTCCACATCAAGCAACTCATGCAAGCAGTAAAATTAGATTTAAAAAACAGATACAAATGCACCTCACAGAACAGCGAGGAGTTACACACACAGGAACAAACACACACATACAAACACACATAACATACACACTATACACACACGTACACTTGGATGGTGTGTTGTAGTAGATTAGTGGCCGTAGGACACAAAGTTAATGTATTGTGAAATCTGTTGGAAAATGTATTTTAATGTTTAAAAATTGTATTATTATGAATATTGCTTCCCTAATTTTTGCTAGACCCCAGGAAGAGTAGCTGCTGCCTTGGCAGGAACTAATGGGGATCCTTAATAAACCCCAGGAAGAGTAGCTGCTGCCTTGGCAGGAACTAATGGGGATCCTTAATAAACCCCAGGAAGAGTAGCTACTGCCTTGGCAGGAACTAATGGGGATCCTTAATAAACCCCAGGAAGAGTAGCTGCTGCCTTGGCAGGAACTAAGGGGGATCCTTAAAAAAGCCCAGGAAGAGTAGCTGCTGCCTTGGTAGGAACTAATGGGGATCCTTAATAAACCCCAGGAAGAGTAGCTGCTTCCTTGGCAGGAGCTAATGGGGATCCTTCATAAACCCCAGGAAGAGAAGCTGCTGTCTTGGCAGGAGCTAATGGGGATCCTTAATAAACCCCAGGAAGAGAAGCTGCTGTCTTGGCAGGAATTAATGGGGATCCATAATACATACAAGTAGTAATACAGCAAATACTTCAATTGTTTAAGCATATGTTGCAGAACAGTGATTGCAATATTTTTTTCTTAATATTTACAAAACAAAATTGATCTTAAGGGGGTTAGCCGTCAGTGATGGAGTTGACAAGCCACTGACGGAGTTGACAACAGATACTCAAAACATATTTGTCTGTGTGTCGTCCACACCTAGATAGGGGTTGTCTGGTGCTGTCCCTTTTATGGGTTACCTAATGAGCAGATTGCGGACTTAAGAAAAAACTTGAGTCATCAGAATACATCTCTGAGCAATTGTGTTAGTATAAGAAATATAATAAAAAATAAAAAATAATTACATGCAATATACTGTAGCTCAGTATTTGTATTATTTATACAGTTTTGTTGCTAATGTTTATCAAGGATGTCAATAATTATGGAGGTGACTGTAGATACATGGTCCATATAGACACGTGGTAGATGAATGCTTCACGAACAGGTTTTAGGAGGTCAGTCTGGGTGAAGCTGGAGTAACAGCTCTCTTTTAAACTGTACAGTTATGTATTTTATTTAAAGGTTGTTGTCACTCCCACCTTAGGGCCAGTGATTCATATTCTTACTTAGCCTTTTCTACAGTAAGTATGCCTGCCCTAGATGTTATCACAATCCACCAGCCTAATTTTAATTCACTAAAGTAAAAATAAACAGCCATTACAGATGGTTAGCTATAGCTCTCTGAAACTGATTGAAATGCTCTAAATGTTCTGTTGTCTAAGGTGACAGTGAGACAGACGTGGGGGAAAAATCTGTCTGATTCATAAATCATCTTTAGGAGCACCTATGACATCGACTGGATGGAAGCACTGTGCCAAAGTCCCAGATACTAAAGTTTATACTAAGATTTAACAACCATAATGTACAAAGGGCCAAAATGTTATGTTTCACTGTATTGCAGTGGTGAAATCACTCCTATGAATTTGATAGAAACGTTGTGTCACAGTTATTTTAATGTCAGCTTTGTCAATGGTCAAATAGTTACTTACTAAACTAATGTGTAGTCCTTATTAGTTGCAAATTCATGTTCAAGAACTACTCCATGAATATACATCTTCTACTAGAACTCATCTTCTACTAGAACTCATCTTCTACTAGAACTCATCTTCTACTAACTCATCTTCTACTAACACATCTTATACTAACTCATATTCTACTAGAACTCATCTTCTACTAGAACTTATCTTCTACTAACTAATCTTCTACTAACTCATCTTCTACTAACTCATCTTCTACTAGAACTCATTTTCTACTAGAACTCATCTTCTACTAACTCATCTTCTACTAACCCATCTTCTACTAGAACTCATCTTCTACTAACTAATCTTCTACTAACTTCTCTTCTACTAACTCATCTTCTACTAGAACTCATCTTCTACTAGAACTCATCTTCTACTAACTCATCTTCTACTAACTCATCTTCTACTAACTCATCTTCTACTAACTCATCTATTACTAGAACTCATCTTCTACTAACTCATCTTCTACTAGAACTCATCTTCTACTAACTCATCTTCTACTAACTCATCTTCTACTAACTCATCTTCTACTAACTCATCTTCTACTAGAACTCATTTTCTACTAGAACTCATCTTCTACTAACTCATCTTCTACTAACCCATCTTCTACTAACCCATCTTCTACTAGAACTCATCTTCTACTAACTTCTCTTCTACTAACTCATCTTCTACTAGAACTCATCTTCTACTAGAACTCATCTTCTACTAACTCATCTTCTACTAACTCATTTATTACTAGAACTCATCTTCTACTAGAACTCATCTTCTACTAACTCATCTTCTACTAGCTCATCTTCTACTAGAACTCATCTTCTACTAACTCATCTTCTACTAGAACTCATCTTCTACTAACTCATCTTCTACTAGAACTCATCTTCTACTAGATCTCATCTTCTACTAGAACTCATCTTCTACTAACCCATCTTATACTAACCCATCTTCTACTAGAACTCATCTTCTACTAGAACTCATCTTCTACTAACTAATATTCTACTAACTTCTCTTCTACTAACTCATCTTCTACTAGAACTCATCTTCTACTAGATCTCATCTTCTACTAGAACTCATCTTCTACTAACTCATCTTCTACTAACTCATTGTTATTGGATGGTCATTGCTCTGTCTCTCCAGTCTTGTGTAGAGTTTTGTCTCAGACTGTAGAAAGAATAGATAGCATCCGTATTTCTATTCTCCGTAAGTAACCATCCTCATTCAGGCAGCGCTGCTTTGGTTCCTTAAGGGACTTCTGTCACTTTGCAGTGGTTCAGACTGACGACAACATTCACAGCAAGTGAACCCCCAACAACAACAACAACAACAACAACCCTGTACACCATGTCTATGCTATACATTTACATTTACGTCATTTAGCAGACGCTCTTATCCAGAGCGACTTACAGTTAGTGCATACGTTATTCTTTATTTATTTATTTTCATACTGGCCCCCCCCATGGGAATCGAACCCACAACCCTGGCGTTGCAAACGCCATGCTCTACCAACTGAGCTACCTCCCTGCCGGGCCATTCCCTCCCCTACCCTGGGCCAATTGTGCGCCGCCCCATTGGTCTCCCGGTTGCGGCCGGCTACAGCAGAGCCTGGCCTATAGCTACCGGGACATAGTATTGGCCTCCTTCTTCCCTCTGCCATGGGTCCCTGCTATAGTGGTACTGGTTCTAAACCTACCGGGAAGTGAGGTGAACACGTTTGGTCTGTATTGTACCGTTCACAGTCAGAATGTATGTATCTTAATCTCATTTCATAGCTTTGCCTAGACAGAGTAATCTCTTACAACATTATGTGCAGCATGAAGCTTATATCTTTAAAGAGGATGCTTTTTTCTTGTTTTAGCATGAAACTGCTTCTGACTGAAAGTGCTTCAAAGACCCTCTTTGTTTCGTAAAATGCATGGGTCTCATTCAGGTTCTTAGCTATTTCTCTCTCTCCCTCTCTCTTTCTGTCTCTCTTGCTCTCTCTGTCTCTTTCCTTCTCTTTTTCTCTCTCTCTCTCCCGCTCTCTCTCTACTCTCTTTCTCTCTCTCTCGCTCTCTTGCTCTCTCTCGCTCTCTCAATTCAATTTCAATTTAAGGACGTTATTGGCATGGGAAACGTATGTTAACATTGCCAAAGCAAGTGAAGTAGATAGTAAACAAAAGTGAAATAAACAATAAATATTAACAGTAAACATTACACTCAGAAGTTCCAAAAGAATAAAGACATTTCAAATGTCATATTATGTATATATACAGTGTTGTAACGATGTGCAAATAGTTAAAGTACAAATGGGAAAATAAATAAACATACATATGGGTTGTATTTACAATGGTGTTTGTTCTTCACTGGTTGCCCTTTTCTTGTGGCAACAGGTCACACATCTTGCTGCTGTGATGGCACACTGTGGTTTTTCACCCAGTAGATAAGGGAGTTTATCAAAATTGGGTTTGTTTTCACATTCTTTGTGGATCGCTGTAATCTGAGGGAAATATGTGTCTCTAATATGGTCATACATTTGGCAGGAGGTTAGGAAGTGCAGCTCTCATGATTTGGTTGGGTCTAATTGTGTTGTTTCGCTCTCTCTTCTCTCTCTCTCTCTCTCTCTCTCTCTCTCTCTCTCTCTCTCTCTCTCTCTCTCTCTCTCTCTCTCTCTCTCACTCTCTCTCTCTCTCTCTCTCTCTCTAAATCAAAACAATGGCAAATATGCCAGGACCCCATCTTTACCACATAGCTGATCTGTGATCGTATATATTAGTGCTACATTTTTTGGGGGGGAAGGCAATTACTTTGAACAGTCAGAGCCAGTTTCTCATGGGGATTACATGCATTTTGTTTTCATTTTCCTCGGGCTTCAATGTTTTCCTACTGATTTAGTCCTCCTTGGGTGAAAGGCTGTTTAATGTGGAGTCTCTCTGTCCCTTTAATCTATTGTGGTCTTGCAGTGCATTTAACAAGCTTATCTCCATGGCTTCCCTTTCAACTGTCTCTCTCACATATGAACTTGACATTTTGTGAGCCGTCTCCTCATTTCCAAAGTAGACACAAGATAGTAAGGTCAAAATTGAATCAAATGTGACTTAAAGCAGTTGCACTGAGGAGGGCAGGGGGCTAAAACAGGTATTTAATTAAGAAGCACCAGGAGATACAAGGACAGTAGTGTGACAGGACCACCTAAGAAGAATCTGCTGAGCGGTGGCAGTGAGCAGACAGTACTTTAACACTTCCTCCATCAGTATTCATGTAAAATAGTTAAGTATAACTGAATTCCAAGGAACTTGAGCATGGTTTGATGTCATTGTGTGTGTTGTTGGCCTTCTATTATATGTGTAGATTCCATCTGTCAGTTTCTTGTTTATAACATAGATTTGTTGAAAAATTGTAAAAGCACTAAACTTTAAACCGAATTGCCTTTTTTGGTTATGGACATAACTGTTTACCTCAGTCTCAGCATCCAACATTTACTTAGGCCTAAGTATTTCCTAAATAAGTGGATATTTTCCTCTGGATTTAATCTCAAAGCAAATATTTTGAGAACATTAAAGATCTTTCACCCCAGTGTTTTGCTTCAGTGAGAGCAAACATCTGTTAAAGTTAAAACAAACTAGAGCTTGTTGGTGTTGATTCTGGAAAATGAAACCAGCTGTGTAAGTCTAGTACCATCTTACAGTACCACTAGTACTGTATGACGTCATATAAGATAGTCATGTTTCAGGTGAAGAGCATGTGAAATACCCAGAAATCAGGCCATGAATGTATACATGCATGCACTGATGAATAACAAAGCAATTAGTAACATGCTCCAGGATGTACAGCACAGTAGTTCCATGTAGTTCAGTAACATGGGACTGAAGCTCACTAATTATCTGCGTTCTTCATTATCTCCCTGTCTCTACAGAGTGTGAGTGAGTTTGGCCTGGACATCATCGAGACCCCAGAGGGAGACAGATGGCCTCAGCTGATCGTCCAGCAGAGCCTGGACCGCGAACAGAAGGACACCTTCGTCATGAAAATCAAGGTGGAGGACGGAGGAACCCCCCCAAAGTCCAGCACGGCCATCCTCCAGGTCACCATCGCCGACGTCAACGACAATCGACCGGTCTTCAAGGACAGCGAGGTGGAGGTGAACATCCCAGAGAACGCCCCCATGGGAACCTCCGTCACCCAGCTCCACGCCACGGACGCAGACCTCGGCTCCAACGCCCAGATCCACTTCTCCTTCTCCAACCAGATTTCCTCGTCCACCAAGAGGCATTTTGCCATCGACAGCACCACCGGGCTGATCACCGTCAAGCAGCCCTTAGACCGGGAGTCCACCCCGGTCCACAAACTCATCGTCCTGGCCAGCGACGGCAGCTCCACCCCCTCCAGAGCTGCGGTTATCGTCAACGTAACGGACATTAATGACAACGTTCCGTCCATAGACACTCGGTACATAATGAACCTTGTTAATGGAACGGTTCTGCTGTCAGAGAACGCTCCTCTCAACACAAAAATAGCCCTAATTACAGTGACGGACAAGGACCTGGATCTGAACGGCAAAGTGACTTGTTACACCGACCACGATGTTCCTTTCAGGTTAAAGCCAGTCTTTAATGACCAGTTCCTGCTGGAGACTGCGGCTCCCCTAGATTACGAAACAACCAGGGAATATGCAATTAAGATAGTGGCGTCGGATTCTGGGAAGCCTCCTTTGAACACTTCAGCGATGGTTTTAATTAAAATGAAGGACGAGAATGACAACGCTCCCATCTTCCCTCAGCCTGAGATTCAGCTGTCCATACCAGAGAACAATGATCCGTCCACGCAGCTCATAAAGATCAGTGCCACAGATGCAGACAGCGGACATAATGGTGAGATTATTTATTCTCTTGGCCCTGACGCTCCCGATGGGTTTAACATAGATCGGCGGTCAGGAATCCTGTCCGTTGGCAAACGCCTGGACAGAGAGAAGCAGGAGAAGTATTCGTTCGCTGTCATGGCGAGGGACAATGGGTCTACTTCGCTGCAGAGCAATGTCACAGTGAGGTTGATAGTGCAGGACCTCAACGACAACAGCCCAGCTTTCACCCATCCTGAGTATAACTTCTACGTGCCTGAGAATCTGCCTCTATATGGGACAGTGGGTCTGATCACCGTCACAGACTCTGACGCAGGTGACAACGCCGTCGTAACGCTGTCCATCCTGAACGGGAAAGACAATTTCGTTATTGATCCCCGGACCGGTGTGATCAAACCCAACATCACGTTTGATAGAGAGCAGCAGAGCTCTTACACTTTTATGGTGAAGGCCGTAGACGGAGGGCAACCGCCCAGCACTTCATACGCCAAGGTCACCATAAACGTTGTGGACGTCAATGACAATCGACCCGTTTTTGTTATCCCCTCGTCCAATTACTCTTACGATCTGGTCCAGTCTACCACCAGCCCTGGGTCTGTGGTCACCAGAGTGTTCGCTATGGACAATGACACTGGCATGAACGCTGAGCTGCGGTACAGCATCATTGGAGGATCACCAAGAGGCCTGTTTGCCATAGACAAAACAACTGGTAATATAACTCTGCAGGAGAAGGTAGTCTCAGCCGATCAGGGTTTACACCGGCTGGTGGTGAAAGTCAAAGACCTGGGCCAGCCAGAGTCCTTACACGCCATCGCCCTCATTCATCTGTTCATTAACGAGACCGTTTCCAACGCTACGTTCATTCAGGAGCAGCTACGTAAGAGCTTGGAGACTCCATTGGACCGTAACGTGGGAAACAGTGAGGTCACACCCCAAGTCAACGGATACGTGATTGTTGTCATCGCTATTATAGCTGGGACTATGACAGTCATCTTAGTCATCTTCGTGACGGCCTTGGTGCGCTGCCGCCAGACGCCCAGGCATAAAGTGGTGCAGAAGGGCAAGCAGAGCGGCGAGTGGGTGTCGCCCAACCAGGAGAACCGTCAAATCAAGAAGAAAAAGAAGAAAAAGAAGAGATCCCCTAAGAGCCTCCTCTTGAACTTTGTCACCATAGAAGAATCCAAGTCTGATGATCCCAGCCAGGAGCACATTAATGGAACCCTGGACCTCCCCGTGGAGCTAGATGAGCAGACCATGGGGAAATACAACTGGGCCACTACTCCGACCACCTTCAAACCTGACAGTCCAGACTTAGCCAAGCATTACAAGTCCGCCTCCCCACAGCCGACCTTCCAAATCAAACCAGAGACCCCGATGGCGCCCAATAAACATCACGTGATTCAGGAGCTGCCGCTGGACAACACGTTTGTGGTGGGCTGTGACTCGCACTCCAAGTGCCTCTCCACCAGCTCGGACCCGTACTCTGTCTCAGAGTGCAGCTGTCAGGGGGGATTCAAGACTCCTGGGCAAATCCACACCAGACAGGTAATTCATAACTTATTTTCTAAAGCCACCTACTGTTCCCACTCCAACTCCCCGTACCACTGTCCCTTTGTTGATAAGGAGGGTGATGGGTGGCAGCGGGAGGGAGCCTGGGGATTGAACCACACAAAAAGTCACACGTGCATGAATGTCATCAGCATTGAATATTGAGGAAGAATACCTCAGAGAGGAAGGAGGGAACTGAAGTCAGGGCCAAGAAACTTCAACCAAATGAAATCTATCTTTACTTCCCAGACAGAGGGGGGGAAAAAAAAACGAAGACAGATTATACCTCCCTTCGCTATCTTGTACTATATGTCTATAAAACCCTTTAACCTTATTTGGGTTAATGTTCCACTTAAAAGTATAATGGCGGCAGTGGAATGGTCTAGAACTAGTCTTAAATTAGAATCTTAAGTGAGAAAGGCTGGTGGCAGAGTAATAGCATGCTTGAGGGAGAATCAAGTCGGCCATGCTACTAATTGAACTCTGCACAGGTGTATTTGCTGAGGACCAACAGATTAAAAGCAGCGCTAAGCTTTTTTGATTGACACGCCTGAAAAAAAAACTAGCATGTCTGACGGACAAAGAAAACCAAACATAGAGTGTTTGATTTGACAGTCATCAGCTTAACAGATAAACGTTGGGTTCAATCAGCTGCTCACTTTCCACTGAAATAGCAGGAAACGTATCCCCCAAGAGTTTCCACTACAGAATAATAAAACCTCATTAAATAATACCAGATTTTGGTTGCGTGCTGGAGATATTAAGTGGCGTCTTGACTGTGGAGGCTCTGAAGGCTTTGTGACTGTGAGGAGGAGAGCAAAGCATAAGGCTCGTTTGCATGCTACGGTCTGGTCTGAGGCTTATGATTCCCTAAGAGATGTGCCAAATGCGAAGTGCCCTAATAAATAAAAGCAGGCCAGGGAAATAGATGTACATCAGAGGTGAGGAGAGGAGAGGTGGCCTAGCTGAGGGCAGACAACACAGCAGAGCAGAGCAGGGTTGAGCAGAGCAGAGTGGGGTGGAGCAGAGCAGAGCGGGGTGGAGCAGGGTGGGGTGGAGCAGAGCGGGTGGAGCAGAGTGGGGTGGAGCAGAGCAGAGCGGGGTGGAGCAGAGTGGGGTGGAGCAGAGTGGGGTGGAGCAGAGTGGGGTGGAGCAGAGGGGTGGAGCAGAGCAGAGTGGGGTGGAGCAGAGCAGAGTGGGGTGGAGCAGAGCAGAGCAGGTGGGAGCAGAGCGGGGGTGGAGCAGAGCGGGTGGAGGCAGAGCAGAGCGGGGTGGAGCAGAGCAGAGCGGGGTGGAGCAGAGCGGGTGGAGCAGAGCAGAGCGGGGTGGAGCAGAGCAGAGCGGGGTGGAGCAGAGTGGGGTGGAGCAGAGTGGGGTGGAGCAGAGTGGGGTGGAGCAGAGCAGGGTGGAGCAGAGTGGGGTGGAGCAGAGTGGGGTGGAGCAGAGGGGTGGAGCAGAGCAGAGTGGGGGTGGAGCAGAGTGGGGTGGAGCAGAGTGGGGTGGAGCAGAGTGGGGTGGAGCAGAGCAGGGTGGAGCAGAGGGGTGGAGCAGAGCAGAGTGGGGTGGAGCAGAGTGGGGTGGAGCAGAGCAGGGTGGAGCTCTATGGGATGGAGACTGATAGTGCTACAGTATGGCGGGTTACTAAGATCAAGGTAAAGATAGAGGCTTGGGACCAATAGAAAGAAGAGATAGCTAGATGGGGGCTTGGGACCAATAGAAAGGACAGATAGCTAGATGGGGGCTTGGGACCAATAGAAAGGACAGATAGCTAGATGGGGGCTTGGGACCAATAGAAAGGACAGATAGCTAGATGGGGGCTTGGGACCAACAGAAAGAAGAGATAGCTAGATGGGGGCTTGGGACCAACAGAAAGGAAGAGATAGCTAGGCATGGTGGCTTGGGACCAATAGAAGAAGGATAGCTAGGGGGGCTGGACCAAAAAGATAGCTAGATGGGGGCTTGGGACCAAATAAAGAAGAGATAGCTAGATGGGGGCTTGGGAACCAACAGAAAGAAGAGATAGCTAGATGGGGGCTTGGGACCAAATAGAAAGAAGAGATAGCTAGATGGGGGCTTGGGACCAACAGAAAGAAGAGATAGCTAGATGGGGGCTTGGGACCAACAGAAAGAAGAGATAGCTAGATGGGGGCTTGGGACCAAAAGAAAGAAGAGATAGCTAGATGGGGGCTTGGGACCAACAGAAAGAAGAGATAGCTAGATGGGGGCTTGGGACCAACAGAAAGAAGAGATAGCTAGATGGGGGCTTGGGACCAACAGAAAGAAGAGATAGCTAGATGGGGGCTTGGGACCAATAGAAAGAAGAGATAGCTAGATGGGGGCTTGGGACCAAAATAAAGAAGAGATAGCTAGATGGGGGCTTGGGACCAACAGAAAGAAGAGATAGCTAGATGGGGGCTTGGGACCAACAGAAAGAAGAGATAGCTAGATGGGGGCTTGGGACCAATAGGAGGAGTAGGTAGCTAGATGGGGGCTTGGGACCAATAGGAGGAGTAGGTAGCTAGATGGGGGCTTGGGACCAATAGGAGGAGGAGGAGGCTAGATGGGGGCTTGGGACCAATAGGAGGAGTAGGTAGCTAGACAGGGGCTTGGGACCAATAGGAGGAGGAGGAGGCTTAGGGTTCATCATTGGTAGTCGTTGTGGTGTGGCGGTAGAGACAGTATTAATGTAGGTTATAGTTCATCATTGGTGGTCGTTGTGGTGTGGTAGAGATACAGCATTAATCTAGGTTAGGGTTCATCATTGGTAGTCGTTGTGGTGTGGTAGTAGAGAGCGACAGTAACTACGCCATCATGCATCATTTGTTCTTTAGTCTGAGGAGAGGGTATTATTGTACATGTTGGAAACAAGGTCATAACGTGGGATTCATTCAAACAGTACGACACATTTGCATTATTGATGCCTAATAACATTGTATTGTGTGGGGATTAGTTTGTAGTATATATTTTATGTTTTCTTTAGTTTTCTTTAGTTTTTCATGATTATTGCTCACATCTAAAATAACAAATTATGTTGCAGTTTCATCATAAATCTTTAATTGATTTTATTTGATGGAGTGTAACATTTTTGAATTTTGTACTTGTCTATCTTCACAGAATTGCACATACGTATTTTTTGGGGTGCCTTGTTCAACTCATTGTGGCCTTTTGAAGCTTTTCCATCCTTTTGAAATCCCTTGTAGCATAGTTATTACAAATTACTGTCTATCCACTGATGCGTTGCGTACATGGTAATTTAAAGAGACACCGACACAGAGCAGATATTAATTTTCCTCACCCACCTTTTATTTAAAACCCATTTAAAAGCAACACTGCCATGGTACATTATACGTAAGCCTACTTGCATAGCCATTACAGGAACATATCATTAACTTGGTGTTTGTAATGCTCCCTGTCTAGTTTGTCAGAATGGCTTTGCACTCATACCGGTTATGCCCTGCACTAAAATACCCCCTGAAATATACTTCTCCTTTAAGCTAATCTGAAGGAATTCATGATTAAGTCAACATTCTCCTCCGTCCTCGTAATGTCCTCGTATCAGCTGATCCAGCAGTATATTTTATCTTGTGTATTTCAGGGCTTTGCTAATCTGAAAAGATGCACTGCGAGTTGAATTCAATCATTATTTGTTTCTTTTGGGGTAATTAATATTATAATATTTGATCAGATTCTGGTCTGAAGTGGGACAGCGTTGTTCACACTGAAAGACCCAGCACCACCTTAGAGATGTCAGGATGATGGTGGATCTATTATCTCTAGTTTTAATCTCCTGTCACCTGGAGCGTTTGAAAAGTAGGGCCTCCCTGTTGGCATTAGATGTGACAGTTAAGTGTGCTTTATTCAAAGCCTATGCGTGAAGTAAAGCAGGGTCTGGTGAGAATCTAGAGCTCAAAAGGTTAATTAAATGCATCAAAGGGTTAATCACTCATAATACAATATGATTAAAAATCTCTGTAATTAGGTTTCAGGAGAGGATAATAGATAAAAGAGGATTGCTAAGATTATATCAGGTATACCTAAATATCTGTCACTAGGTCTCTAATATTATTGGACCTCTGACAGCCAATGAATGACAATTACTGGCTATAACTTCCTAGTTACATTTTACACTAGTTTTGACCTGTCCATAAACTCTCGTTCCGATAGATTCCTCTTTTAACATTGATACAGTTCAGATAAATTCTCTAATGCTCCCCAGAATATTAACATTAATGTTTTTTTCTTAATCTCGTAAAATGAAAATGTGTTGTCGAGTGTGGAATTCACAATTGCGATCCGTTCAAGTCAGCCTGGACTTAACAAAAGCAGCATATGGCAAGTTGACGCCACTCAATCTCCCTGAGCATAAACCTGTAATACAAAAAGTCCAAAATACAGGATAAAGCAGATTGTGATGTTTTTATTTGTTCATGAAAGTGAAAGACAGTGATTTAGTTCATTTTGCGTGGCTCTTCCATTGACCTCTTACCTAAAGCAGAAAGAGGATGAAGGATATAACAGCAAACATTCAATGAATCCTAATATGAGACACAGGAGACTTACAGATGAAGGTCAGATGGACGTTTAAGGGGACTTACAGATGACGGTCAGATGGACGTTTAAGGGGACTTACAGATGACGGTCAGATGGACGTTTAAGGGGACTTACAGATGACGGTCAGATGGACGTTTAAGGGGACTTACAGATGACGGTCAGATGGACGTTTAAGGGGACTTACAGATGACGGTCAGATGGACGTTTAAGGGGACTTACAGATGACGGTCAGATGGACGTTTAAGGGGACTTACAGATGACGGTCAGATGGACGTTTAAGGGGACTTACAGATGACGGTCAGATGGACGTTTAAGGGGACTTACAGATGTAGGCGCTAAAGAGGAAAGTGTCAAAGTACTTCAGAGACTCCATGTCTATGGCACCATATGGTATCTTAATATCCCTATAGCTCTGTTTGGTAGGATCCAATGCTGCTCAGCGCACCATCGCTTCTTTTTCTCTTTTATTCCCTCCATCATCTCTTCCATCCTTTTCTTTTATCTCTGTCTATCTCCCTGTTCTCAGCCGGTAGTTTTAGAGGTCAATCCCCCCGGTGACGTGCGGGGAAACCTCTGTCTCCATCTGTGCTTTAGTTGTGGCAGATCAAATGAGCAACCACCCTGGCTGGCTGAGTGATCTCAGACACAGGCATGAATATGCAACAGCAAAGAGGCCAATGTGCTGTTTTTGTTTGTCCCATATTCCACAGGGCCACAGTGCATAACAGGTCAGTTGTTGGAGTCAGACCCAACAGACTCAACATCCTGTGGTTTGTGTGTTTCTTAGCTAGCAGGGTCCATTAACATATTCATACTTAACATACTGGACACAGATATTACCATTTGACATGTTCTCAGAACATGAACATTTGAAAAGGATTGCAGACGTGATTATGTTGTTGTTGTAATTTACAATATATTCCTAAAAACATTCACTGTGGCTAAGTGTTATAGCTAACCCTTACAGAAAAACCACATGATTGCACATGTAGAAAATCACATTATTTCACATGTTTTCACGTGTAGTTTTATGTGTTCACATGTCGCTTTACATGTTGTCACATTAACTTGTCATAAGATCACGCGTGATCACATGAAAACGTGTTTTTTTGGGAAAAATCATGTTTTCTTTCTCCATAAAGTGTAGGGTTGCAAAATTCTGGTAACTTTCCCAAAATTCAAACCAAGCTGTGATACCAGTAGACAGTAGAGGAGGGGGGGGTGGGGAGGAGGGGGGGGGTTGGGGAGGGGGGGGGTGGGGAGGAGGGGGGGGTTGTGTCACCTCCTCTTAACAGCTAAGTTAGCCGTTTGCTTCTATAATCAATATGCATACTGTAGGCAGGACTATTGAGAGCAGGCAGCACGGGGTCAGATTCAACGTGATCATTCAAGATATCGCCAGATGTGTCTTTTTGTAGTTTTTTGGGGGGCAGACCTTTAGTGAATGTCAGACCTGTACCTATCAGAGGACCTACTGTAGGGTGCCAGAGGAAGGACTAAAGAATGAAGCCAAATGCTGTTTTCAGGGTTAAAACTGAGTGTTGCAGTAGGGTGGTGGACGTAATCACACATTTGGTGCAAAAAAAATAAATTGGAGAGAATTGCATGCTCTGATAATCACAGTAAAAATGCACAAGCTTATGGTCACGTGTAGTATTCTTCAAGGACTTCATCTGGCAAGACGTTCATACCTGATTGTCAGCTGTACCTTGAAGAATCCTTTTATTTTTTTTTATTTTCTTGTTGAATACAAATGATCTAGAGGTTTTGTATTCACTGTTCGACTGTAATAGAGTTTAACAGCTACTAGAGCTCAGACTTCTCAGAGCTGGATTACATTGTAACTACAATCTCCCTATATCTGTCTGTCTCTCTATATTACAGGAGACGGCACTGAAACCACCACTCTATGGCACACTCTGTGGCACAGGTACAACTCGCTCCCACAGGATAAAAATCAATCTCTAGCTGCCAGTACCTAGAGAGAGAAAGAGAGAGGGAGAGAGAGAGAGAGAGAGAGAGAGAGGGAGGAAGGCACAGAGGAAGAGGTGCATCTCATACTATACA